TTCAGGGCTTGGCGAGTGCCAGGCTCTGTGCTCAGCCCTTTCTGTGTGTTGCCTCAGCTGATCGTCACAGCAGCCCTGTGAGGTGGGGGTTGTTGTAGGTCTCATTTTACAGGGGAGGGCGCTGAGGCTCAGAGAGGTGAAGTAACTTGCCCACAGCCACACAGGTAGAGCTTGCGTGTCCATCAGGTAGTGCGTGACTTTGGTCAGATGCCAGCGGTGGCCCCGGTGGGCCAGGACTTCTAATTTGCAGAATGTTCTGATAGCAGGCTCACGGAGGGTGGGGATTTTTTGAGTCCTGACTCCAGGGTACAACGATACATTTGTTTCACAAGTGTCAGCATCCCTTCATTGACTTGCAAAGCACTGGGTGTGCCAGGCACGGACACATTGCAGTGCTGGGTACACAGTACGTCTTTGGAAAAGTCATGGTCCTTTGACGTGAGCCTTGCGTTCACCAACGAGGAGAAATCCTCCACGTTTGACGGATGGAGACGTGAGGCTCACAGTGGCAGTGACTGCAGACATAGTAACACCACCATTTTTCATCGCTTACCAAAATATCAGGCCATTTTACATGCAATATCTCGTTTAATCCTCTCAAGAGCTCCGTGAGGGAGATAGTATTATCCTCATTTCACACTTAGGGAGGCTGAGGCCTAGAGAAGTTACAAAGCTTTCCCAAGGACGCACGGCGGAGCTAGGTCTGCTCTTGCCAGAGGCCTGGTGGAAGTGGCAGCCCAGGGCTGGCGTCTACGTGACATGGTAGAAGTCACACAGGGTCCACACTCAGAAGGGGCCCATGTAAGGTTAATGCTCTGCTATTGCCTTCCTAACATTTTTAATAATTTTTGAGCAAAGGTCCCCCATTTTCATTTTTTGCCGGGCCCCACAAACTAAAGCAGGTCCTGAAGCAGCCAGGACCCTCTGGGCCCTCAGTGGGAGGAGCAGGGAGCTCCGGCTTCCCCCTCACCTCTTGCTTCCTCCTCCGCCCATCCTAGGCCCTGTTTGACACGCAGAACGAACTACGCGCACACATCCCGAACTTCACCTTCAACCTGGGCTACTCAGGGAAATTCTTCCACACAGGTAAGTGGGCCTGGCTCTGCTCCCGTTAGCAACTTCAGGGACCCTCAACCTCTAGACCCTCGAGGCACTGTGCCACAGGGGCAGCAGGTGGGCTGACAGGACCACATTGGGGGCAGATTCGACCCCCGCGGCCTCCCCTGAGCCCACAGCCCACGGAGCAGTCACTGCCCCCGGCAGAAGGCATTTGGGGACACCACCATGACAACTCCCACTCATCTCTCCCTGGCCTTAGGCTCTGCTGTCCTGGGGGACAGCTTCTCCTTCCTGTTCCCCCCTCACACCCACCTTTTAAAATTATTTGTACTATTTTTGCTTAAAAAAGTAATTAGTTGAATTTTAAGAACATTACGGAAATCTGTAGCATAGAAAGTGAAAATGCCATGATTGTACCCACCCAGGAGACGCCCACGGTCATGAGTTTATTTTCAGGGTTTGAGGGTTGAGGTTGAGGGCTGTGGGTTGCCCGGTTCAGGCCCTCCCTCCTCTCTTGGGCTCTCTCCAGTTCCTCATAGGCTCTCCTTGGGACTGGGCAGGAGGGGACAACTCCTGACGGTCATCTGCGGTGAGCGGTCCCTCTAGCTGCCTTCTGCTCGGGCCGCAGTGAGGAAGCCTCTCTTGAATTCTAGGCAAAGCCCCATTAGTCTGCAGTTCTGGGGGGGAAGCACGCAACATAGCCTCAGTGCCAAATAAGAGCAATACTGGGTTGTCTCTGCACTTTTTTTATTCTCAACCCTTAGCGTATCAGAGGTAGTTGTAGTAATACATGTGTGACTGAGAATTAAATATCCTCTGTGTATACAAAGAGCTTCTACAAATCAATAAGTAAAAAACAAATGACGCAATAGAAAAAGAGGAATAGGATGAAACGGGCATGTCAGAGCTAGAAGAAACCCTTGGGATCATTGCCTCTGAACCCCACGTTGCACAGATGGGGCCTGAGGGTCCAGAGAGGAGAAGGACTTGGCCAAAGTCACCCACTGAATCAAGCCCACACTCTAGACTGGGATCCAGGGTCCTGGACTGGGGCTCTGTCTGCTCCTGGGCTGTAGCTCAGCTAACTGTTCCAAGCTGTTGGGTGGGCCCTGGCCGGGCGCTCCCGTCCAGGCAGCCACCCAGGTTGGAGGGCCTCATGGCGGGGGGCTGGGCTGAGCTCCCTGTGCCGGGGCTGCAGGTACTGATGCCGAGGATGCTGGGGACGACCTGCTGCTGTCATATGTGAAGGAGTTCTGGTGGTTCCCCCACATGTGGAGCCACATGCAGCCCCACCTTTTCCACAACCAGTCCGTGCTGGCTGAGCAGATGGCCCTGAACAAGAAGTTCGCTGTCGTGAGTAAGATGCCCTGCAGCACACAGCTGGGTGGGCCTGGGGCTGGGCTGGGGGGCCGGGCTGCTGGCCTCTTGCTGCTTTCGCAGCTCAGTCTGACAGCTTTTGATGAACATCTTCATAGTCCCTGTCTCAACTGAAGCCTCACTGAGACCCCAAGAGGCGGGTAGTGATAGCCTCACTTTTAGAGAAGAAACCAAAGCTCAGGGAGGCCACACCAGCTAAAAAGAGGTCCAGCCAGACGTAAACCCAGGCCCGTTTGTTTCCTGAGCCCAAGCTCTTATCTTCAGGCTGGAGTGGGAGGCTCCGGAAAGCTGGAGGAGGTGCTCAGCGAGGAGGGACTGAGGCCCGGGTGCTGGCTCAGCCTGCGTCCACACAGTTAGAGGCACGAGAGGCAGGAGGAGCCCTGTCCTGGTTCCTCATTCCTGGGTACTGGCTCAGCCTACGTCCACAGATCGTTAGAGGCACAGAGAGGCAGGAGGAGCCCTGTCCTGGTTCCTCACGCCTGGGTGCTGGCTCAGCCTGCGTCCACACAGTTAGAGGCGCGAGAGGCAGGAGGAGCCCCGTCCTGGTTCCTCACTCCCGGGTGCTGGCTCAGCCTGTGTCCACACAGTTAGAGGC